GCACTTCAGACAGCAAGTATGCTGTAGTCGGCAATCATTCGTTTTGGTACAGAGTGGGACAAGTAGGGGGTGATGTTGCTGTAGTCGAACGGTGAGACGGACGTGTAGTTCAGTTTTGGGCACGCGTACGGTGCTGCAGGGATTATATATAGGTGTAGTAGTACCTCTTCGGGCTCTTGTACACCTTTTTCTTGCTACGTGTGCGTGTTCTTTAGATCCTCAGATGGCTCCAGCACTTTCGTGACCACGGGCCGAGAGTCTTTGCTAGATTTTGGCATATAGCAACTGGCATACGGTTTAATGTGAAGTCAACAACAACAACAACAAACAACAGGTCTCCAGTTTTGTACCGGTGGGAGTATCTGACGGCAAGCGGGTGTATCCGACGAAGATATAGTTATGCTTGGAAGGAGGGGAGGAAGATGTTGGGAAGATGTTGGGAAGATGTTGGGAAGATGGTGAACGGCGGGTATTTTGTTGGACCCTTGGTTGAATGCCCACGAGAGATCCGACGTTGTGTTTTGTTTGTTGTTGTTGTTGTTCTCGCATTAGCTCTTTAGTCCACAAAAAATGGGGAGCCCGTGGTCTCAAAACCCGGCACATACGACGCCGCGGGGAAGCAAAACAAAACAAGGGTATAAACCACTCCGAAAAAGAGAGCAAAATGATAGAAAGAAAAGAACAGCTACCGCACCGACCGTTCGCGAAAAGAGCCCTCGGAAACCGATCAGAACAAAACACATAAAAAATCAAGGAGGCCGCTTCCTACACCCGCCTAAAGAAAAAATCAAAGGGTCACGTACCGGCATCAGGCACTACGCACCAGGGCATGGGAGTAACGGTGTGTGCGCGCAGTCTCATTTTGATTTGATGGGGAATACGTGGAACAGATGGATATTGATTGGAACTTGTGTTGCATATACGCGCGCTCCTGTATTGCGTCGCGTTGTGTATCGACAACAGAGGAAGAATAAATTACATGTAAGGTGGGCAGGGTTGGACAAGGTATACACTGTTCAGGCAGCTACATAAAGGAGTAAACTACAGAGGATCTCCTCGATCTTGTATTGTGTTCATGTAGTGGTGGGGTAACACATTGTACAGCAGTATATAGACTATTGTGTGGTAGTATATAGTCTTCATGTAGTGCTCCTGTTCCTCGTCGGGTTGTGGTTTGTGTAGCACGTATCTTGTAGGTGCCAAAATATATCTCCGCAAATGTGGCGCACAGCAAGCGCACTTCGACACGAAAACAATTGCAAGTAGTTTTGAATCGGCTTGGATCACACCATAGGTCCGCTATTGTTGTACAGGTATGTTGACTGCAGACCCACGCCTACCTGCTGCCGACCACAGCAAAAGAAAACGGCAGGCTACAGTACGGACGGAAAGGTCCTTCGGGACCCCACGTGTATTCGCCAACGGTGGGCACTGTGGTTCCACAAGCTTCTCAACACCAAGTCGCCGACCATCGACCTGCATGCGGCTGACAAGGTCAAGCGGTGGCCCACGTGCGTGCCACTCGACGACATCCCATCTCTACTTGAGGTTGAGGAAGCGGTACGGGAAATGGCCAACAGAAAGGCCGTCGGG